GAAATACAGTCCTAGGCTACATTAATATCTCTGCATATATCCTTCTGATGAGCCAGCACAGACAAAAGGGTCTTCAATGGATCCATCCTTCCAAAGAGCCATGGGGGGACTGGATCAAGAGCAAATGGTTGTGGCTTCCTGGAAGCTCCAGGAGATCCACCAGTTATGGGGACAGGACCACACCCTTTCAAGTGCCCCAATGGGTGTGTTTGGAAGAATCTCTGCAAAGAAATCTGCACAAAGATTTTCTCCACAAATGTCCCTGTCCCCTTCAACTTTCTGTCTTCATGAGGTGCAGAACATTGCTATGGTTGTGGCTGAAGATTTCCTCCTGGCTGTGTATGAATTCAGGGAGCTCCTTCTCACACATCCTTCCTGCCATTCAATCCTTTTCCAGGGTAGGTGGGCTTGAAATATTCGTTCACTTTCTGTACCTCAGCTGTTCTCTCACAGTTCCACCTTTTCTGGGTGGAAAAGTTAATGGAGATGTGGGTGGAAAATGAAAAATGTAGAGAAATATAGTCCTTGGATTAGCTGTGTGGGCTGTTCAGATGGAAACTGTGAGAAACCTGTGAGGCAGAAATTAGTATGTGGTGAATTCATAAGAAGTGGAAATAATTGTGTTTGTTTTCCTGAGTGAATTTAATACTCACACCCTTAGAGACTGAATTCTTCCATCTATGCACAGAATAATCATGGCAGAGGAAACAGCAGGGAAGCATCCCTGCCCGTTGCCTTGACAATATGTTTGAATCCTAAAGTGGAGGGAACTACCTCTGGCAGCAAAAGAATCATAGAATCATATAATACTAGACCTGAAAGGGTACATCTACACAGCAACATTATTTCAAAATACCTAGCGTTATTTCGAAAAAACTACACAGCAAGCAGTTATTTAAAAAAAAGTTGAAATACTGTCGAGCTGGAGGACTTCTTACTCCAACTCCTGTAATCCTCATAGTACGAGGAGTAAGGAAAGTGGGAGGAAGAGTGCTCTGTTTCAAAATAAGTGCTGTGTAGACGCTCCCAATTTCTAGATAAGTTGCACAATTGACATAGCTCAATTTGCGTAGCTTATTTTGAGTCAAGCCCTGCTGTAAAGATGCACTCGAAGGTATCTCGAGAGATCATCAAGTCCAGTCCCCTGCTCTCACGGCAGGACCAAGCACCAGCTATATCACCTCTGATAGATGTCTATCTAACCTGCTCTTAAATATCTCCAGTGATAGAGATTCCACAGCCTTTCTAGGCAATTTATTCCAGTGTTCAACCACCCTGATAGTTAGGAAGTTTTTCCTAATGTCCAACTTAAACCTCCCTTGCTGCAGTTTAAGCCCATTGCTTCTTGTCCTATCCTCAGAGACCAAGGACAACAATTTGTCTCCCTCTTCCTTGGGACACCCATATAGATACCTGAAGACTGCTATCATGCCCCCTCTCAGTCTTCCTTTCCAAACTAAACAAGCCCAATTCTTTCAGCCTTCCTTCATAGGTCATGTTCTCTAGACCTCTAATCATTCTCGTTGCTCTTCTCTGGACCTTCTCCGGTTTCTCCACATCTTTCTTGAATGTGGTGCCTAGAACTGGACACAATACTCCAATTGAGGCTTAATCAGTTCAGAGTAGAGCGGAAGAATATCTTCTTGTGTCTTGCTCACAACATTCCTGTGAGAATAATACTATGTCTCCTG